AGTACCTGCACCAGGACCTTGTTATAGGTGTGTGCTTGGACTGGCATCCAAGGGGAGCAACTGGATTTCAGAGCTTATGCCAGAAGGGTTTAGAGAAGGAAGAAGCAGGAAAGAAAGAGCGAGCAGAGATAATTATGCCAAGGATATATAATTACTCTTTGGCTCTCCATGTCTGACATCACACAGGATCCTGAAAATGCTGGGGTCAGACCTGGGAAATGTTCTGCAAGACAAACACTTCCAGCTGTTCCTCTGAAAGCAAATCTCAGCAAGTACCTTCCAGGCGGGAATGTGTGGGCTCACTTATATATGAAACGAAAAAAAAATCTCACAATTTCAAGCCTTCAGCATTCACCTTCATAATTAAAATCTCTAATCACAAGCAGAGTGCAATAAGTTACTGTCTTCTGGGAGCTGTTTCTTAAGGTGGTTTTCCATTTTTGCCTTATTTAGCCCCTGCCTCGGTGCCAGGCTTTACTTAACCTTAAGCTTGTGAGCAGGCTTATTGAATTTGGCCAAGACTTGACTAATCTGTAATGAGCTCCAGGTTGCCTGGAACTTGGCAGCACTGTCGTCCCCTGTGCCGTTGCATAATGACCTGACCCCGTGTAACCACAGTTTTGCCTTGTGCCACTTCAACCTCTTTGAATTCCCGCCCTGAAACCCTGAGCTTCATGGAGGGGGCTGCACTCATAAGGCATGTCCTAAGTGCCAAGCCCCTCCTTGTCTGCTTTCATCCCCTTCCACAGGGCAAGAGGTGGGAGAAAGTGCAAGAAGAGCTCAAACATGGAAATCAGCCTGGGCACAGGGGGGTTGCAGTGATGGCAATCAGGTGAAGGCTGGGACCTCCTCCCAGGCACTGATGGTGGCTTAGGGGACATGAGAATCCTGACCATCTTCCTCCTTCTCCTCTGGCTGCATCAGGCTGGTGTGCAGCCTCCTGTGGTCCCCCTGTGCTTGTGAATGGAGGGTGCTCATCGTGGAAGCTCTTCCATTTCGAACTTGCTAGGTGGTATTTATTGTTTGTTATATCATTTTAATAAGGGCAACTGGAAGGATTTAATTTGTGAAAAATCACAGGAATAATTCAGATGTTGCTCAAAGTCAATTTTTTCCCTGTTGTTTATTTATATCAGCTCAACCACTTGAGAAACCCATTATTTGCTTTCTCCTTATTGAGTATCTAATGATGACAATAAATTGTTACCGCTCTTTATTGTGCATTTCCCATAAGGCTGACACGGCACAGAGAAGGAACCGGATTCTTTTCTTCTAGTATGACACTGGGAAGATTGTTTATAGCACTTCAGCTCCAGCCCTCTGCAAGCCAACTGAGAGCAGGATCGTTAAAGGCAGGATTTAGAGTCTGTGGGGTTGCATAAATTGATTGAGAGCAAATTTGTCGGACAAACATTGTGTAATGAGCAGGGAGGGAGAAATCTGGTTTGGATCTCTTGTACCCAGCAGTAGGCCAGAGAAAAAGATCTTACAAAAAAAAAAAATCAATAAAATAATCTTGCCTTGTTTGGAAAGCAGAGTGCCAAATATAGACCCTATCACATTTCCTTCCCTCCTCCTTCCAAAGCTCGTCCTTTTGAAGTGCACTTTCAATGGGATGTGGATAATTGACTCTGTGAACAACTGACCGAGGGCTCTGTTGGTTTAACCGATTGGTCTCAGTTGCTGATTCCTGTTTTGTTTTGGATGATTTTCAGCCCAATTGCTCCGTCAGCTACAATTAGTCCCATTAATATGACAGCTGAAGGGTCACAGATGACTCGCTCTGGTCGCAGGCAGGAGATGCTCACAGCGTGTTGTCCTCAGCTCCATGCTCATTGTCGATAGCTTGCTTGAATTGATGGCGACTGCAAATCTAGATGCAAAACTGATCAAAAGGGATGTGAGATATGCTTCACAGGAGGGTGATTGACTGAGAAATGAGGTTGCAATAACTACTAACATTTGGATGAATTTCTCTTTAATTTGTCAAGAAAGTTCCTGATTCGGTATGCAGGGGAAATGTGGAATGGTTGGGCTTCCTCTCGCCTGCCAGAGCCATGAGGAGAGGAAGCAGAAATGGGATGGAGTTGTAGGCACATCCTGTGGCTCTTTCAACAAATCCATGGCTGTCGTTTTCTGTGGTTCTAGTGACATCTGCCATGGTTTTGGGCTTTGTCTTTTCCACACGGGATTTCCACTTGGGGAAATAAAATAGGAAAGGAAACCACATGCAAATGAATAGAGCACAAGGGATTGTTTGACTTCTTGGATTCCTAGGGGTCAGGTGCACGCAGGTGCAGGCCAGACATCAGTCTCATGGGTCTCATGGTCAGTCTGTGGCCATAGTATGGCCAAAAGTGTAACACAGAAAATAATCTGATTGTGTACTTGGCCTTTTGTATGAGGAAGGAAACAGAAGGCACCCAAAGTGCCTTACTTGAATTATACAGCCCCAAAAAACCACTGCAAGACCCCTGTTGGAGATGGTTTACCTGCAAAGCAGGGCATTGTGCCTGGTAAGGTTCTACAAGAGTCTGGTTTTGGTTTGGTGTTATTTGGCACTTTTCTGAACTTCCTGGATGATAGAAAAGAGAATATGCAGATTTGATTTGAAGATGAGCCCCAGCTGGGAAGGGCTTGCAGTAGCCTGGCAGAGAGGGTCAGGCTTTCAGATCACGTCTTCAAACTGGAGAAGTGGTGTGAAAAGGATGATTTGTGGTTAGGTGAAGCCTCAGTGATAAAGACAGGAAAATATGAGAGTAAAGCAACAAGGGAGGCTAGAGTCCACTTCACGGGAGATTTTTATGATCAATGTGGCAAACCTTTGTCAAGTGACATAGATGTATTTGCTGCCACTGCTGCAAAGCACAGGTTGGAGAAGGCCTACAGATCTTCTTGGGGTGAGATGAATATTTTGCTCATTTCTTTTGTTTTACTAATGAAACATTAACATTTTTTATGAAGAGCACATACTTTATGAAAAATCCCTTGGCCAAGGACCACAGTTTTCCTCGAGCAGTTTGATGGGAGCTTTGCAGGCAGCCCGTGTGCTGTCATGGGCATGAATTCCAGTTGAAGACACTTGGGTCTGGTCTTACAGGAACATGCAGCCTACACAAATTCCCCCTTTATTTCTTCAGAAACTGCACTTTTTTGCAGACATCTGTGAGGTCCAGAGGTCAGTGTGTTGTGCTGAGCTTATTCCCTTTAAATCTCGTCTGGGACTTGTTCCTGGTGAAGATAGCTTGTGCTTTTAAAAAGCCTAGCAGCAGGAGACCTTTTCTATCAGTGTGTTTCCATCCATGTTTGGGCAACACAATGAATGCAGATGTAGTAGGAAACTTTTGATTATCTATAGGATTTTTTCTGTGACAACTTCAAAGCTCTGTGGTTAGTTATATTCTGAGACTTTAAATGGATATGTCTTGTGTTCAGAGATCTGATTTAATTTTCCGGTTTAATCTATTGTCCAAACATCATTAATGTTTTCTTTGAGGCATGGGACAGCTTTGATAGAGTCTTTTTTTAATTTCTGGCCATCACCCTGTGCAGCCATAAACAACATCCTGCCTGCTAATGAGAAAATGCAAGTTATTGCAGTCACATGTCTTGTGGAAATAGATTGTAGTGGCAGGAGAAAAAAAGAAGCCGACTTAGCTCACATCCATCCTCAGCTGGCACGAGCATTTCGATTACTGATAGTCAGGAGATGTTTCCATGGATTGAGATACCCCATTAAAAAGGAGTGTTTCGTGTTGAAAATGAAATTATTAATTTCAGATATATCCATCAGCTCTTTAACCTGCTTTCATGCTTTTCTATCTATAAGCACGTAAACCCTTTCCTAATTAATGCCACGCTGGTATGTCAGCTGTTGGGCTCAACTATTCCTAAAAAATCCAGGTTTCTGAAAGAATTTGACCCATCCTTCCAGTGTGAAGTGAGGAAGTAGGATCCTCCATTATATACTCAGTAAACCAGGTGCATGACATTGATATCCTTCCCATTGCTTTTTCCTCTTTTCCATCGTCTGTAGAAATTTTTGTTTGGAAAGTAAAACTTGTGTGTGTATGACCTTAGAAAGTCAGGGCAGAAGTCGGTGTGGGGAGTGGGGCACAGCCCAGTGTCTCAACATTTGTTCCCTGTTGTGCCATGATAATCATCTGCAGAAGATTTGTGACGGGGGGTGGCTGGTTGTGATGCACAGTCCCATGTTTAGACATGATTTGGAGATGCTAACACAGTGACAGGAGAGCATTTGCATCACAAGGGTAAGTGCACAATTAGGCAATGACACAGTGACAGGAGAGCATTTGCATCACGAGGGTAAGTGCACAATTAGGCAATGGGAGGTTTTAGAGCACCTAATTCCTTCTCTACTGAGAGAGCCACCTTGTAGGGGAGAACCCACACTGTGACAAACTGGCGTTATTGGCTTTGAGTTCATTGACAACAAGTGTATAAAATGAATGTATTGGTAGTAGCTTCACAGCATGGACATATCTCAGGTCTTGTCTGTGCAGGAGCTTGACCGACAGGAACACAGCATTGGGATATGGTGTGAGGGCTTGCGCAGAAATGCAGCATAATTTTGCTGGTTTTGGAAGGTGGGTTAATGTGGCATAGTACAAAGATTAGCTGATCCCTACAGCCAGTTTTCCTCAGTGGCCAGATGTTACAGGAAGATGCTCTGCTTGCTTGCAGACAGGACTCAATATGATCTGTGTTCTGGCTTGGCAAGAACTGCCCAGCCTGGTGGTGTCTCTTGATGTGCTGACCTGCACCACTGCACCTTTCCCTGACACTTGCACCCTTGTAACCACGCTGACCTCTTCTCTGCTTTCCCCCCCCACCATATAAGTTGACATTCATCATTTCAAATGAAGCAGATGCTGCAGTTGTGTGTATTTAGAGGATATGTAATGCTGAGAGCAGCTGGAGGGTCTCCTGCAGTCCTGATGGTTCCTGAGGTTCTCCTCTCACCCTCTATGTCTTCACAGAGCATGGCTTCGTTGGCTACCCGGAAGAGCTGATGTTCAACAACACACTGCCAGACTACAGCCAGGGGGAGTCTTTCTTCACTGTTTTTGGAGTGTTTTTCCCAGCTGCCACAGGTACAGTCAAGTTTTATCCTCCACCTCTTTCTCTCCTCAGGCATATCTCAGAGATGAGTGGAGTTCCTCTGGGCTGTGAGGCAAAGTGAGCAGGACTGCACTCAGCCATGGCAGACTCGGGTGGTTGATTCAAAATTCTCAGGCTTCCCTCCAGCATTTCAAATTTTGCACACTCCTGTCTTGTTTACTTGAAGTGCTCTTCTGTCTTTGTGGTCAGAAACTGCTGGTGAGCTCTGTGAGTTGATATGGTGGTGTCCTGCCAAGGATGAGGCTCAGGCACTGATCTTGCCCGATGCCTCAAACCTTTTTAAAAGGGCCAACTATAATTTATCATATTAGATGAGCCTTATGACTTGATTCCGCTGGGAGAGTGGGAAGAACCCAAGAGGACTTTCCCTCCATCCTTACCTCAGCAGATGGCCAAGCTGAGCTGATGCCATTGCTCATGATGCTGATTCATCACTCTCTCCATGGTGTCACTGGTTCATCTTTGCATGTTAGCAGAGCTCACATTTATGAGCTTCATTAGATGCCTTCATATTACTCATTCCGTTAAATTACCAGGAAGACTCATGTCCCCTTTCCAGAGCTGACAATCTCCAGTGGGAATGAAATAGCTATCAGTTGGAGTTACAATACCTTTTGTTGATGCTGGGTACTTTAAGCTATAAAAAGTACTGATTATAAGCAGTTTCCATAGTGATGAATCCTTGGATTACAGAATGAATTTTCAGAGGATTAGCTCTAAGCAACTTGCTGGAAGTTGTTTGCAGAATTGCTGCAGTACAGGGTGACAAATTAAAGGGCTTTGTGAGACAGATGGGACTGTAGGAATGGTCTGGTAGCAGGTCACTTTGTCAGGTGCACCTAGTGCAGGACTTCAAATTTTCCTTTGAAATCCTCTCTCCCAGTTAATCAGGCTGGCTATTGCCTCTGTGTTGACTTCCTCCTGGAAAAGTCAACTGCTTGAACTACTGGCACCATGGAGAAGTTGGATTCTGCTCTCTATTTTGCCATTTTTGACTGGCCTGAGTGAGTCCGTCAGCTGGAGAAAGAGACCCTCCTCAAGAGTTCTGCCTCTGGAACAGGAAACCAGTTTTTTTCTAGTTCCCTGGTCATAGAAGAAGGAATAGTTATGACAAAACTGTGGAGAAAATTATTGTGATTAGCCATATTAAATGATTCTTCATCACTGCTAATGCTTGGCTGCTAGGAAGAATGCCAAAGCTAATAGATACAATTTATTCAAAGCCCTGGCAGCCTGTTACTCTGTTTAGTTAGCAGCAGTAATACCAGTAGTAATGTTAAACATTCTATAAAAATGCAGTTTGGGATGATGTATAATTACTTCAGTTGTTGTGGAGTTCAGGAGCCTCATAAAACATTGGGTTGTGTTTGTTACTGTCTGTGGAAGAGCTTGTGGTCTGATTAAGAAATTTCTCGGATGGGAGTCAAGACTTCTCTGCTGCAGATCACGAATGGGGAGCCCAGTGCAGCTTCCAAAGTGCTGGGAACCAAGCTCACATCTCCTTGGGCTGGGGCAGTGAGTGAGGGCTGGTTCTTCCACGTCCTGCCTGCCCCAAGCTGGCACAGCTTTCCTTCCCCACAGGAGGGGTGTGATGCTGGGAACTTGGGTTCCTCAGGGGTCTCACATGGTGGAGCAGAGCTGCTTTGCACTGCATTGCCAGCAGGACTGGTTTGGAAATGATGTTTCAGGGGTAGATTTGGCAGCAGCATTAATAGGAGTCTGGAGAGATGCGATAGGATTGCCATTGCCTCTGATGCAGGGCAGGCAGTGTGGTGCAGACTCTGAGCAAGTGGTGGTGAGGAATGGCAGGGACAGATGAACATTACTCCCAGGACGTCACCTCCAGCTTGTGCTCCTGCTCAGCACCATCTTCAAGTGGTACCTACCTCTGCTGGAACCCCTGCAGTGACCCAACAAAAGCACTGGAAGCAAAATCCTTTGCTTCAAGATACAACAGAAATTTGGGGAGAGTTTCAGCAAAACAATATGCTGTTTAGTTTCGAGGGGTTACATGGAGCCAGTTTGAAACATTTCTCTGACCCAGAGCAATGTTCTGTTTATCTTTAATTATTAAAGGTTGTGTTTACTCTTTTTAATTTTTAGCATATGCTAGTTTACAATTTAAGATGCTGTTTTGATAACAACGTTTTTTAAAAAATGTTTAGGAAATTGTGAAACAAATTGTTTGGGCCTTTTTGAGATGAAATGTTCCTCTTTGAAGTGAAACTATTTTGATGTCTTTAGGATAAGCTCTTTCCTCTATCTTTGGAATGGTTTTCTGAATTCAATGGGTTTAAGTTTGGCCTCTGGGATGTACTGAAAAGTGGTTTTGAGTTGCCCATTTCCACCAAAATAGCACTGAAACAGAAACTTCCAAAATGCATGCTGGTAGCTGTAAAACCAAAGAGGGGCAGACACTTCAGGAAATGGGAGCAGGACTTGTGGGGAGCCAGGACCAAACAGGCAGCAGGAGCAGTCGGGGGCATGCTTTGACAAGGGCATGGGATGGTCATCCCAGCCTTTTGCAGACCAGTAGCAACATGCTTCCTCCTACAAGCAGCCTCCTTGGATCATTTTGCTGCAGGTCAGGTTGTTTTCTCTGTGTTTTATTGGTATGACTCCAGCAACGCGAGTGAAGTTATCCCAGTTTTATGGTTGAGTGGTGGCAAGCAAAGGCTGGTCTGTTTGCTTCCTGGGTAATAGCTCTTTAAACGATTTCATCTGGGTGTGCAGTGCAGCTGGCTTTATTCCCCCAAGTTTGTCATTTAATCATAGAGAAGTAGCTGAGTGATCCAAAACATACATCAACAGCTAGCCTAGATGGGAGTGAATGGGCATGGAAGACTCAGATTTGCTGGCTTGAGTCAAGAAGGCTAAAATACTCGCTACAAAAGATGTGAACATACTCCTATAGAGATGCTGTGCATTCACTAGACATTTTTCTACATGTTTGTAAATACCTTCTTAATGCACATGTTTTTCCCTGTGATAGGCAAACACTCAGCTACTCACCTCTCAGGAGCTGCCTGCCCATGGTCAGCTCCCAGCAGCAGCCACACAGCTATCAGTGTGTTACTAAAATGAAGATAAATGTCATTTCTGTTGTGCAAAATATGTTTTTCTTTTTCTACTAAATCCCCAAGGTTTTCTGTCTAATGAAAGAAGCGTGTTGTCATGTGATACGAGAAAGTAAGACGTCGTTTGAAGCGGCGTTAGTGGAAAATATCATCGTACTGAAACCGGTTCTGAAATAAACCATATTTGGCACTTGCAAAATGACAGCAAATAGATTTAGAAGTTTTGGGCTAAGTTATCAGATGATGTAAACTGGCACAACTCCATTGAAGTCTATGGAGAGGTGCCAGCTTACATCAGTGGAGAAGTTGGCCCTTTAAAAAAATTAGCTACAATCCTTATCTAAGATTTTCCATTCTTCATCTCTTGGGCAAAGGAAAAAACCAAACCCTTTTATATTTTATAGTAAGCTCACTGAAAAATGCAATGGGCGTTTGCAGGTGATCATATCTGTAGTTATAAACCTTAGCTGGTGGAGCTGATGGTTGTGTCTAACATACGGTGTAGGTGGTCCCCTCATGCACGTATCCACCGCCTGGATGATGCCCAGGACCAGATTATGCTGGGAATAGCAGCAATGTACAGACTGTCTCAGCCATAATTTCCTGGCTGGGTTGACCATGTTTTCACGCTTCCTTGTCCAGAAGCTTTGTCATTATCTGCTGCTCTCATAGATAATAGCCAGTGTGGAAAATCCAGCCTGCTATCTCATTGAAACAGAGAGGTGGATAATTTTCTCCATGGACAGTCTGCAGATATGATTGCTTGAGTTCAGAAGGGATTGGCCATTTCCCTAGGGATAGGTCTGCGTCTGAAGGAAGGAACGTCCTGATTTCTCTATGTCAGTGAGTTTTATATGCAAGTGTAGGGTTTTTCCTCTGTCAAGCAGCTTGTCAAGAATCTCTGCCAAGGCCTTTTGTGGCTTCTTGCAAGTCAGACCAGTTCTTTGGCAGGAGACGACCAAGGCTATAGATGGTGGAGATTGTTTAGGATGATGGCTTTTTGAAATTAATCAGTATGTCCTTTCATTGAAAAGTGTGTTGGTTAGTCTTCTGCTTGCAAAAGACCTTTTCAGAACTGCTCCTTGGCAGCTGTCTGGAAAATTGCTTTTTGGGTGGTGGTGGAGAGGTGACTCCATACATCTGTACTACCAGGTTGTCCATACTTTTGTACTAGTCAGGCCAGAGGCATAATTACAGCATGGAGGAGATGGCTTTGGCCTGAGTGACGGAGAATATCTGTGTTGGTTCCCTCTATGATGGCCTTGGCCTTTGGCCATGGAGGCCATGAGACTCTGATGACCTCCTGGCAGCCCTGACAGAAGCTAATGGTTTGCAGTGGCCTAGGTCTGACCCCTGATCACTGCTGGGCAGGAGGCCAGTCATCAATATCAAGATCCTCCTTATTGTGGGCTCTGGCAGGTCATCTCCTGGCTGCCCTTGAATATGTGTGGGTCTGTGGGAGGGAGGCAGTGAGGCAGCCTAGGCTGTGCAGTCATTGCTGTGCCGATGACTCACATCTTCAACTTTTTTCACATTCAGTCCAGAAAATGCCGTTTTGGTGTTTCCCCAGTGCTTTGCTGAGGCAGGACTTTGGATGAGGAAGAGGTGAGTCAAGCTCAAGTTGCAAGATTTAGAGGTGGTGCCAGATGTTTGAGAAACTTGGCCGAGATGCACATGAGATTCACAGCTGTCCTCCTGACAATAGTTTGCTCTCTTTGGAAGGAAAATTCACAGTGTTCTCAGCTTTCTGCTGTGTCCCTGAATTGCAAAGCAGCATGTCATCAAAGAGTGCTTCATAGAGACTTCATATGGCATGATATTTGTGATCATTTCCATGGACTTCTGCTTTCCTAACTTTTCTCACCTCCAGCTAAACCTACTGTGTAGCTACTTAAAAGGAGCAGGGCTTGAACAGTGCTTGGAAGCTTTATCTAGAGTAAACTATGGCAGTTGACAGGCTTTTAGCTGTGCTGTTCAGAAGTACATCCACAAAATAACCTTTCAGGAGAAAGCTGAGAACTCTTTTTGATTTATAATGCTTTCGGTATGGTGTCAAGGATTCAAATCTGGTCTGAATCTGGAAGAAAAGCTCTTCCAGGAGCTTAGGAATGCCAGAAGTCTGTGGGGACCAGGAAGGGGCTGTTTGGGCTCTGGCTGTGTGGTGGAGGGGACAGAAAAAGACAGCTGGTGAGTGGAATGGTCAAGGGGGAAAAAAGAGATGATCGAGGAAAAAGTATTAGTAATAAATAAATAAAGCCCTGGATGCCCAGCAAAGTCTGGAACAGAGCAGAGTTGAGCTCCTGTTCCTTGATTAGCAACTCAACCATTATGCCCTGTTGGCAGTCCATCAGTAGCCCTGCAAGGTCTATAGAAATGGGGGGGGCATCCATCTGGCCAAGCTGGGTTTGTCCCCATTGCCTTGGGATTTGTCCCACAGCTCCTGCTTACCCTTCATCTTGGGAGAAAACTCTTCCAAGCAGCAACCAAAGCTTTCAAGTGCAATGGGTTGTTGCTGATTTAGAACTGTAGTCACTTAGGTTTTCAGCCTCAGGGTTTGACTTGGGCATTCTTATGCCATCTGAGAATAAAGAATGACTGCTGGCTTTGGCAGTGGAGTGGCAGACTGACGTGTGGTTGGTCCCCTGCTGCCGGGGCTGGCAGATGCTGTGAGTGCCATGGTGTTGGCATCCTCCTTCTCATTGTTGTTCTCTGGTGATCTCACCCCAGCTCCCAGGGACCATGCCATCAGCACCAAGGGCTGGCTCCTGGCCCACATGTCCTTATGAAGGCATTAGTCTGACATCTGAGGGGTGGGACAGTGATGGGCAGAAGTTAGTTTCTTAAAGAAGCCTTTTGGTCCTGCCTTCAAATTGTCCAAATTCTTATAATGATTCTAAACCACAGATTTTTATTTGTTTATTTTGTATTTGTAGCAGATACCTGAAGTCTTCTAGGAAAACTTTTAAGATAATGTGACAAAGGAATTTGTGTTTTCTTGACAAGTCTGGTATGACTCCTCCAACTATGGACAAAACCTCTTAACCAATCTGTACCTTGGGTTTCTCGCCTTAGTGTGGAGACTGTAATCCTCTGCTCATCCTGTTTCCCTTTCTTGAGTCTTTAGATGGTAATTTTCTAGGCTAAGGTCTGTCCCTGATTGTACAATACCCTGTACTCTGGCCTAAAATAACAGCTGAATACTTTATTCTTAGTCATGCCATGTGTTTTCTACGTGACACTGGGACAATCACTTGCCCTCTCAGTGCTTCTGTTTTCCTATCTGCAAAGCAGAGATAATGCCTACTTCCAAAGCAGATCCCTTGGCTGGAAGGTGCCACCTACGTGCCGAGAACACCGTTACTGCCTGTGCTAAATGCTCATGTGATCATCATTTAACAGGGACAGGACAGGCTGTTTTGTAACAGTGGCTGTCCCCTCTGAATGCAGGGACCTGTAATGGATCTGGGCTGGGGGCTGGTACCACCTGCTGTGTCTGCTGCAGTGATGAACAGTGGCATTTTTCTTTTCAACAATTGGACAGCATTGTCTTCTGTGAGGTTTGTATTAAGATAAGATGGGTTTTGTTCAGATTCTGTTTCTTTTCTTCTCCCCCAGCATTGTTCGAACTGGACAAAGGGTTCTTTGACGTGTTAGTGGTGGCTTCTATTAAAGACATGAACAGTTTCTTACCAAGCAATCTATGGGAGCCAGAATTCATTTGTGTGGCAGTGCAATGAAGTGATATAGTTACTGTTCTGAAGCAATCAATGAACATATCGTAATGTGTGTTATATATACTATAACTTGGATTGACTCTAAATTGCACTTATGTCTGTAAAATACAGGTGTGATGGCTGGGTTCAACATGAGTGGGGATCTCCAGAAGCCTTCAGCCAACATCCCTCTGGGGTCCCTGGCTGCTATCGGCACCTCGTAAGTCATGGATTGGGGAAAATTTACTCTGGGGACTGCCCTGGATGTGACCAATCCATTTCATATTCCCATCAACCTTTTATTACTCAGCCATCTGGAAAATTAAAGTGTGGCTCTCATTCAAATTACCATCCATTACCATCACCTAATCTGGGTGGGTTAGAAGAGATGTTTGTTAATGCAGATGTAATCAGTCCTTCCTCTGCTGGGTGGGATGTGTGTTGGTGCTGGAGAGGTTGTGCTGCTGCAGCCCTGCTGACCCAGAATGGGTTCTCAAAGGCTTGGGGTGTGCTATTTTGTCACTTATTGCTGTAGATCTAAAAGGTTTTTTTTCTTTTTTTTTTCTTTCCTTTCTTTTTCTATATAAATAGAAATCTAAATGTTAAAACTTTTTATTTTTTATTACTGGGAAGATGAGGCCAAGACAGGTGAGATGACTTACCCATCTGCAAGGCCATGGGAACAGAGGGAGCTCTGCATCCTCAAGTGGTGCTCTCCCAAAGGAAATGCTACTTTCCAGTAGCCAAATACTGTTATGTATTAAAAAAAACCCCACCTCAGTAGGTTTTTCTGCCTGGTTTCATTACCACCTAAATTGCTTTTGAAATTATTACTTTTAACTGTGTACCAGGGTTCAGCCA